TTTCCTTCTTTGATATGTTGTGAAGTAGAACAAGGCAGGAAGCATTTGGTTAAGTGTTGTTTCCTGCTGTTCTTTGTTTGAAGAGCACAATGCAGCATTATATCCTGGAGTTACCAGTCTTGAGTTTGGCATGTTAGGATTAACCTGTTCACTCTGTGATTTGTATTCTGATGCTGTTTAGCTGTCAGCTGCCCCTCACAGTCTCAGGACAGTGATATGGGAGAAGTAGAAATGTTTTTACTTCTTTTGCTTCAGGGAAGCAACTCTAAGTTGATGGCTGATGGTATGTTGTGAGCACATCTTCTAGATTATCTGCAGTTAAGTTTGCAGCTACTATCGTGCTTGATTTAGTAGACCTGAGGATTATCAGGTGGGTGGCTTGTGATGATCAACTTGTTTTCACATGCACTGTATTCTGTGTGGAGAGTGGCAATGGCCAGCTGATTGATTAGGCTTTGCTTTGGTCCTCATTTGCCCTCCAGAAATAGTCATTGACTGTATCCTATTAGGCATTGTACAGGGAGCCAGATGATCGCTAGCAAACAACTATTAAAAGTTCTCTGTGCTCATGGAGTCTATAGCCCTGTGAGAGGAAATCAGCAGTAATCAAATAGCAATCAGATACTTAATATATCATATTGATCAGTGATGAAGAAAAATTAAACAGGGAAAGAAGTACAAAGTATAGAATATGTTATTTTAAAAACTATGAGTGAAGGACTTGGTTGTAGCATGAATAATACAAATCCATTGGGGTTCAAGCTGAAGATCAGAGAAGCAAAGCGGCCAGCCATTAGAGAGCTCTTACCTCCACCAATGCTAGGGCAATCCTGTCTTCAATGTGGCTGGAGACTCTTTGAGACTCTGCTCCTATCTTATATACCTCTGTAGTGCTGGGATTAAAGCTGTTTATCACCATCGCACAGCTTCTGTGGCTATCTAGTATGGCTGCTGGTATTAAAGGTGGGTACCACCACTGCCGGGCCTCTATGGCTGTGGCTAGCTTCACATTCCGATCTCCAGGCAATGTTTATTAGATCATAAACAGTATATCACTACACTCAGTTCTCTGCCTTCTGGTGATACCGACTGAAGGGAGCTGGTACTTAGGGAAGAGGATACATGTATGTGCAGGGAACAAGATGGAAGCTGATGCATTAAGGTAAGCACAGTAGAGAAGACTCAGAGGAGCATAGCAACTAGCCCTTGTGGGCTCTGTTGAGAACTGTAGCTTTTACTCTAAATGAGTGTGGAAGGCACTGAAGGGTCTGAGTAGAAAAGTGACATGATTTGACTTAAATTTTAAGTACATCGCCGAGCAGTGATGCCACAACACACCTTTAATCCCAGCACTTGGATGGCAGTGGCAGGCCAATCTCTGTGAGTTCGAGACCAGCCTGATCTATAAGAGATAGTTCCAGGACAACAGCCTTCAAAGCCACAGAGAAACCCTGTCCAAAAAAAAAAAAAAAAAAAAAAAAAAAAAAATTTAAGTGCATTAATTTTGGTTGCTCATTTGAGCAAAAACTGAAGAGTGGTAAGGTCAGAAACAGGAAGACAGAAAATTACTGAAATGATCCTTTCGAGGGAAAGTCATATAGCATGATAAGGGTAGATAGAAACAGCAGAAGGCAGTAAGAGTGATCATATTTTCAATGTTGAGAGTTCAGCTAAAGATTGATGTGTTAGATGTGGGTTGTGTGCATGTTTGCTCAGGTATATGGGAGGAAAGGAAGAGACAATGGTAAAAGAAAGCTCTGACTCCCAAGTGACTCCAGCATTTAGACATCAAGGAAAGGAGAGAGCCAGCAGATGAAAAGAAAATGTCCGGTGCAGGGGAGAAGTGAAAAACGTAACACTTTAGACTCACCGAGGGAAGCACTTCAGTGAGGCGGGATGGTTGTCCTTATGAAGTATGACAGACAGGCCCCATGCAGCAAAAACTGAGGGTTAGCTACCTGGAAGTCTTCGGCAGAATGGTAATGTTAGCATAGTGGGCCTAGGTCAGCTACTTCTAGCTTCTTAGCCTTCAATCCAAAGAACTGAAAGTAAGGGTCCACACAGTAGCAAGGAACCTTCATTGAAAGGAGAGAAGGGGGGGGGGGGAGAAAGGGGAGAGGGAGGGAGGGAGAGGGAGATCAGAAAGAAACTCTACAGGTCACACCAGTGAGAAAGTATTCAAGTGCCAAGTTTTTCTCTTTGGGTTCAAGAGGAGAAGTTTGGTTGTTTTGGTTGTTAAGGGCCATAGTTAGACAGTTCTCTATCTTGACTGGTAGATTAGGTGACATACTCACTTTCTTACGGCACATGCCCCTTCCCATAACACATCTGATTTTGATCATATGCACACCCAATTATGCATAAGGCTAAGATGGTAAATAGGGCATTCCCTCTAAAAATGCCTTCTGGGATACTTGCCTTACTCCACATTGCACCCAGTTGGATAAAGAAGGTGAAGGTATGGTGCAGGGAGAACCAGGATCTAAGCCATTTTATAACACTTGGTTGAGTTGGTTTTCCTTCTCTGTAAAAGGTTATTGTGAATACTGAGTAATCTGCTTTCCAAGCCTTTTAGAATCTGGTAAATATGGAAGACTGACCTGACACATGCCAGGCTTTTCTGCTGCAAAGAATGTTTACTCAGCATTGGTGGCATTGTCAAAAAGAGTGAAGGAGGAGACTTAAGAGATGAAGAAACTGGGGATGACTCAGGTGGTCATGAAGAGATTCACTTCTGTTTACTTGGAGTGGCAGGTTCAGGGTGTTGGAGTCATTTGATGGAGGGCTGTACGTGTGCCCTAATGTACTTTCTGGTGTTCACTAAACATTACACAGCCTGCCGAAAGAACATAATTCTCTTTTTGGGCTAACTGCTTTTTCTCAAATGCCCTTTTAACAAAACAGGGTAAAGTACGTTCCTAGTTGCTCTGAGTATGTATTTCTGAATTTAAACATTAAATTTAAAATATTACTATACATTAAGTGGATTTAAGGTAACTAGAAAATCATACAGGCTCTCCTCACATTTATTATACTTCATGTCCCTGCTAGGCTGTTATGATATAGGTGAAGTGATGGTGGATATTGTTGTCATATTTAAACCTTTTCCTGCCCTGACATCAACACACATAACCAGCCCATCACTGACAGGTTTGAAAATGCATAAGTATAGTGTGTTTAGAATTAGAGTAATGTTTTAGAATTAGAGCAATACACACTTTTTAATAATTGAACTTATAAAAGAACAAGAAAATGAATTTATTACTTTATAAAACTTTCCAAGCAAAAGTAAAATTACACAAAGCTAGAGAGTATCATTAACTATATATCATTCACAAATGGAGTGATTTTAGTAATTAACAGAAATCAAGGAAGCACTTGGCTATATTGGCTGTTCTAGTCTATCTACCCTGGAAAATATGGAAAAGTAGAAACAATCCAAGTGTGTGACTGTTTCTGGGGGAAGAGAAATGCGTCACAGAAGATGAAGTACCAATTTTTTTATGTTGGGAATGAGTTGGAAATAGCTTTTTGAAAGTAAGACACTTGGAATTATGACACTGTCAATACATTGTGAAGTTGTATGTTTTTCTCTGCATCAGCTCTGATCATTTTATATTTTACAAATAGGACATTTTCACTATTTAAAAATTAAAATTTAAGCACGTTCTTGGAGTAGGAAATTAGCTCAATGGTACTATGCTTGGCTAGAATGCACAAGAGCTTGGGTTTGATCTCGGCACAAAACAAAACCAGCAACAAAAACCCAGAATTTTGTTTCGTTCTATCATCAGCTTATTTAACAAACGTGTACCTTGTCTACAGTTAACTTCCAAGTGAAGCTTCATGAGTATTCTCATGTCAAATTTGGGCTTCAGAGCATTTTTACTTTTCTAACAAAGACATCATGAAGAAGATGATGTCTTTTATAATGTTACCTGGAATCGGTTTACTGATCTTTTTTCATGTTGTTTCTGCACTTCTCAGAGTATGATTCCCATTGTCTTCTGCTTTGTGTAGGCCTACTGGTGCTGTATGTAAGAGATCTTCCATATTTCATTGTTGTACTTTTTTAGTAAAACCAACAGAAAACAATGAAACAAATTAACAGTGATAGTCTTGGCATCAACAGGCGCTTACTATGTCCTTTCTAAGATCTTTGCCATGAATAGGTAGGCAGGTTTTGCTTTGAACATCTTCAAATGTTCCACAGACCTATATTCACTTCCATCTGATGTCCATGCCTTTGTGACTACAGTCCACCTGACCCATAGTGCTGGGGGTTGAACTCAGGGCTCCTTTTCTGCATGTCAGGCAGTAGAATACCACTGACCTATGCCCCCAAAGCTCTGGTATTTCTTATATGGAATAGAGTATGGATTGACTGACGTTTGTTCTTGTTTTCAGATGCACATGTGTTATGTGTGCCTATGCATGTAAAGGTCAGCCTTTGGTGGTATTTCTCAGAACCTATCTACCTTTTTTTTTTTTTTTTTTTTTTTTTTTTTTTTTTGAGACCGTCTCAACTGGAACCTAAGATTAACCGAATATGTTAGGCTGACTACCAGTGAGCTCCCGGGATTGCTTGTATCTGTCTCCCAGTAGATCCCATCTTTGCTTTTTACTTGGGACTTGATGCTGACAAATCAAATACTCAACATTTTGGTAAATCTCTTCAGCCCTTTGGGTCTATTTTTGCCACCTTTGATTTCTTTGTCGTGTTGGGGCTTGAACAGGGCCTTTCACATGCTAGGCAAGTCCTCTACTGCTAATGTGAGCTAATGTGAGTCTCCAGCAGTCTATACTACCTTTTGTAGGCATTGTTCCTTCTACCGTCTTAGTGCTTCTCTGAGAGTGAAGGTGCTACTGTAATTTTAAAGTGCTTCCCCCTCCTAAGTTTTAAGAAAATGAAAGCATTTAACTGTTAGAGGGCCATGAGCAAGACATTGAGTTTTATTGTCAGAATTAACTATTCATTCACTTGCCACTCACTTTTTTAGGAGTTATTATGAAGCCAATGACAGTACTTCAGCTATAAACATAATTGAAGAAGCTTTCTCAAAACATCAAGGCTTAGTCTCCATGGAAGATGTTAACATAGCAGCTGAATTATATATTTCCAACAAACAGTATGACAAAGCTTTGGAGGTAGGCATGCTCACGTGCAGTTCCTTTAGGTTTAAAACCTGTGCTCTTATGACAGAAATGTTTAGCAATTAGCATCTTGTCATTTAATTATAAACTAAATTTATATCTAAACTATGTGGAAATCATGACTTCTAGATTCTGAGTGAAATATAAAATGTAATTATATTGTCACTGTAAAGCTCAAGTCTGTCTACACTCAATGGTAGCAGCATTCATCAGAGTGATTTCTGTTGGAGAAAGCAGGTTGGTTTGCAGTCAAACTGATTTTGGTTTTAGTCAATGTGATATAATGTTCTTCATTTATTTCAAAAAGATATTTTTTAATGTCATTTTATATTGTTAGGACTAGTTGAAATATTCACAAAAAAGGCTTTTTATATATAACTTTTATTTCTCTTTTTGTCCATTTTTAGGTAATTACAGATTTTTCTGGAATTATCCTAGAAAAGGAAACTTTGGAAGAAGGCACCTCAGAAGAGAATAAAGGTTGTTAACTTCACGTAGTAATGCGTGCATAATCCTCTTGTTAGGTGTGGGCTGTGGAGTTGATAATGTTCTCAGAGCATGTTCATACTGGGGTTCTAGTCTTCTCATATTGGCTTTTATATAATCTTTTTTCTTTTGTTTGTGTAGTACTAGGGCTCAGACCCAGACCCATGTGCCTGAAGGACAAACACTCTACACTGAGCTTTATCAGTATCTTTTGGTTTATAAACAGTCTTAAATGTTTTGAGTTCCTTTATTTATTCATACACCTATTTGGACTTGCCATTTCTCTTAACTTTTGTTTGTTTTATTCTGTTTGTCTCTTTTTTGGGGTAGAATCTTACTCTGTAGCCTAACCTGGAGATTACCATGTAGCCCAGGCTGGCCTCAAGCTCATGGCAATCCTCCTGCATCAGCCTTCAAGTGCTGGGATTGCAGGTGTGCATCACCATACTCAGCTCCTGTTTATTCTTAGAAGAGTGATTGAGTAGATCAGAACCTAGGATGTAGAGCAAGGGCTTTAAGTGATCTACAATTAAAAATTCTACTTAAAATTTGTTATTCTCATAAAGAGTAGAAACTGGTATGATTATCCTACTGTTTGAAAGCTCAGATGCATAATCACAGGTAGCTGTACCTGAAGTGTGCCTTCGCAGGATCTCTTCCAGCTCCTGCCTCATCTTTGCACCATACCCATTAACCTCATCTATGAAAATGCTAGCATGCATGACTTAGACTCTGACTTGTCATTTTTGTTGTCATAGTACTTGCCCATGTAGTAGTTTTCATCCTTATTTTGAGAGGATTTTGATGGGAGTTATGGGAAGTGAGTTGATGCAAAGTATCATCTGTTTTAGATAGCTGACCTGTTTTGATACTTAATAATTCCATCATGCTGCAGTCCTTTGAGTTATCAGAAGCATGAACATTTAAAATATGATGCAGGTTTGATTTTCTGTGTCTTCAAGTGGGAGACAGGTACACAGAGCTGCCTTAGGATTCTTTGTAAGGACATGAATCCTCTTCATGAGGGCAGAGCTCTTGTGACCTTCCAAAGACCTCACCTCTTAATGCCATCATATGCTATACCATATGTTGTAGATGAGGTTTCAATGTATGAAATTTATGAGATGTAAACATTCAGACCATGTTAAATACAAAACCAAAATGTTAATATTTGGAAAACAGAACCTATATCTATGAAGAATCCTATTTTAAAAGTCATAAAGCTTATTACAATGACTATTACTGGTTAGTCCTTTTGTAGGTGAGTGACCATAGATATCTACAGAAGGAATATGCTGTAGGTACTGTCTTTAGTCAAGTAGACTTTGCTCAATCAAGACTTAAGCACCCTGACAACACATACAAAATTTCATGGTAGGAAAGTTGTGTAGAATAAATATCAAAGTTAAATTTGTGTTATCAGTTACTACCTGGTATTCATTGTTAAAACAGTCTCATAATGAAACCATATTACTAAGACTGGGTGTCCTCAGAAAATTATTAATGGCAAATCTTGTAAAACAGATGAGATTACTTAGTTTTGTAAGTAACTTAAATTTGAGTCTACTACTAAAGGCACATCACTAATATGTACAGTTTATGAAATGGAAACTGATTTGTGGTTTAATGTGCAGAATATGAAATATGGAATGCCTTTAATCTCCCAGAATTTTTAAATTTGTTTTACTATAGTGAAGTTTTAGAAAGCAGGAAAGTATTTAACTCCCTTTTTAAACCACTCTAGAATAAAGTTTAAAATAAAGCTTTTGAATTCAAGAATTTAAAAAGAGAGGTTTTTACCTTTTTATTCCTCCGTAGTCTCGTAAAAAGTGTAGAAATTTGTGTGTCTGAAATAATTTGATATTAAGAAAAAGGGCAGGATAAGTACAAACAACAGACTGACTGAAGGAGGTAAAAAGCTGCTAATAGAGTTGAATAGAATGAACATTGACTGGGATGTTTGCTTTGAGCTATTGGAAATGGGATCTGTGTACAGGTTGGAGTTCCCTTAGGTTGCTTTATGTGCTGAGCTTGCACATAGGAATGCCTTATCTGATGGTTCCCTAGCTGCTGAGACCGTTACCTGCTCTATACCTGATAGTGTGCCCATCGATATCACGGTGAAGCTGATGGTTTGCCTGGTGCATCTCAACATCCTTGAGCCACTCAATGTAAGTAGCACCAGTAGCTGCGCCTGCTTAGGCAGTGTAAGATCCTTCCCATTGAGTCTACACTCACCTTCAGATGACTAGAAATTATAACTTGACCTTAGATTTTCACATTTCTTAATAATGGGGAGGACACAGTAAACATCAAATTACTTTCATAGGAATGGCTCATAAAAACAGTGTTTTGGAATTGGACTTGGAATAATTTTCTTTTAAAATGAGAACAAGATCAGAAGTTGTGATTAGCCTTTAGGCAGTCTGTATTTACTCTTTTTCTGATTTTGGAACAAGTTATTTCATTGAATAAAAAAATGTATTGTCATCTGCTTTATTGATCGTAGGATACAGTATTCTATAAAACAAACCTTCCCTTCTTGGATGGATCATTTGTTTTAAGAGATTAAATACATTCATAAAATATGTAAGTTATTGGTTGTGAAAAGTATTCTGAAGAAATAGACAGAATGTAGGGATGGGAGAAAACTACATTTTTAGTATGGGAATCACCTGAGAAGGTGATTTTTGATCAATAACTGATGGAGTACCTTTTCTGGCATTAGCAAACATGGAGGCAAAGGCACAGGCTTGTTCAGCTGCTTAGATGAAAGCACTCCCCGGTGGGCTTACTTGCTAGATGCTTCCTAGATGATGAATGAACGAATGAGTAAAAAATGGTGGAAAGCTGAATCTTTTTAATGGAAATACAGAAATAAGCAGACAAATGACCATTAAGCTGTTTTTGTTAGTCCTTGCTGCTTTTTGCTTATAATAAAGAGATGTGGTTATTTGTAATGAATGTTTGCCCTCTGGTTTTTATTTGGGATTCAGCCTCTGTTGACAACACTGGTGGAACAGAACCCTGAAGATATGGGTGACCTCTATCTTGATGTTGCTGAAGCTTTTCTGGATGTTGGTGAATATAATTCTGCACTTCCCCTGCTCAGCGCGCTGGTTTGCTCTGAAAGATACAACCTTGCAGTGGTTTGGCTTCGGCATGCAGGTAACACTTTAGTTGTGGAAGGAAACTGTTTTAATCTTATAATCAGGAAGCATTTACATCCCCAACACAGTAGTTATTATAACATAGTAGACTATTGGTGCAAGTATTTCTAGTTTTGTGTAGCTGGAAGATTAGTACTCATCTTGCTAGACTACTGAGTGCTTGCCAACACTTAAGGGATATTAGAGTCTACTCCCGACGTAAGTGACGTTAAGATACTTGCAATCAAAGCCACAGTGTTCTCTCTAGGGGACAGACAGTAAGTGCTATGACCAGAGTGTATGTTTAGAAACAATCCTTGTGTCAGTAGACCAAATAGTTGTTAAGTAATTGTTAATTGTTATTATAAAACATTCAAAATGCCAGTGAAGGCATGGGGAATGCTTAAAACATAGCACTAAGTGAATAAAGACTCATCAAATCAAACCTAGACTGATATCATCCTGTAGCAGTTTAATTCTAATGGGGCCAGGAATCTAGCTCATCCTATAGGATGCTCTCCTTGCATGCTTACACCTCTGGGTTTGATTTCTGGTACCACCAGGGAAAAGATCAGTAGATTAATCATTGGAGGGAAGGAATGCTGCATTCAGGATGTACTATTTAAGAGAAGAATAAATTAAAAGAAGAAAAATAAAGCACTAACAATATATATTCATTCCTTTGTTATAATTTTCTTAAGTTGCTTTAACAGTCCTGTAAAATAGTAAAAACCTGCCCGGTGAGGAAGTGTAAACAGGTAACCCCAGGCTTGGGAGGCTGCTGCAAGACAATTGCAAGTTTGAGAGCAGCCTCAAAAAAAATCAAATCAAATAAATTAGCAATTAAATTAAAAAAGGAATAGTTTTATCTAGGATATAACTCGAGATTTGAACATTTTTTACTTTAACATCTTAGAATGTTTAAAGGCCTTGGGCTACATGGAACGTGCTGCTGAAAGCTATAGTAAAGTGGTTGATCTGGCCCCACTCCATTTGGATGCAAGGATTTCACTTTCCATCCTTCAGCAGCAACTAGGCCGTCCGGAGAAAGCCCTGGAAGCTCTGGAACCCATGTATGACCCAGATACTTTAGCCCAGGATGCAAATGCCGCACAGCAGGTAGGCCACATCATAGTCATAGGGTGCTTCTCTGGGTACTTTCCCGTCTGCTCATGTGGCTTTAGGGTATTGGCCTCCATTTTTACAGCCTCTGCCAAAGTTCTTGTTTAGTGTGTTCATTTAGTGTGATTTGTTTTGACATGTGTTGTATGTATTAGTGAGTGTGTGCATGTTTGGAGGTCGGTGGCAGACATCTTTTCTGGATTTCTCTCCAAGTACATTTATTTATTGAGACAGTCTTTCACTGAACTTGAAGCTCATCCATCTGGCTGGCCATTGACCTTCAGGGACTCTGCTGTCTCTGTGCCCCCAGTGCTGAGATGAACCTAGTGCTGAGATGAACCCACTTGCCTGGCTTTTTATCTGTTTAGGGGTCTGAACTCAAGCCTTCATGCATGCACAGCAGGCCATTTCCTTAGCCTCCAAATTGAATGGTTTTGAAAAACGATTTAGTAATTTTGTATTAGATATAAATTATAGCTTCTGAAGTGTTAGGTTTTAATTATTACACTATGAAGCAAATATTTGTAGAGTCTGGTTTCTAAATAAACATTATTTGTGCAAATAAAACCATTTTTAACAAAGACGTCATCACTCATGGTCACTTGCTCCTTTTTTTAGGAACTGAAGTTACTGCTTCATCGTTCTACTCTGTTGTTTTCACAAGGCAAAATGTACGGTTATCTGGATACTTTATTAACCATGCTAGCCATGCTTTTAAAGGTGGGTAGTGACTTATTTATATTAGCCGTGTTTATTTTTAAAATGTTTGAATTTTGATTTAAACAGAATGTTAGCTTTATAATTGCTGTGTTTAATTCATTTTAAAGTGAAAGGCAGGTAAATACAGAAAACTTAAAAATTAATGATATACGACTGGAAATTCTTTTCTAACACTGGAGATTGACTTCAGGGCTTTACACATGCTAGGCAAGTTCTCTCCTACTGAACTATATTCCAGCCCTAATATTGGAATTTCTATATGGTAATACAAGCTTGATTGTAGAAAAAGTGAAGTAAAATCTTTGTCTACTTATTTTGAAATATGAAAACTCTAGAATTACCAGTTATTAGCTCTATAGACAGTCAGATGTACTAAAATGGTTCATTTTGCAAAAATTTGCATATTTTTGCATATCCATTCTGAAACTGTTTTTGCAAGGAAGGGGCGTGTGTTCACTCTCTCTCTCCTGCTCTGCATGTCATAGTGAACTGACAATCTTCTCCTGTTAATATGTCTGTAGTGACTGAAATTCCTTGGGTAAGAAAATAAATCGGGCTCTGAGACATGGCTCAGAGGTTAAGAGCACTGACTGCTCTTCCAGAGGTCCTGAGTTCAATTCTCATCAACCACACGGTGGTTCACAACCATCTGTAGTGAGGTCTGGTGCCCTCTTCTGGCTTGCAGGCAAACATTCAGGTGGAACAGTGTATACATGATAGATAAATCTTTAAAAAAAATCATTTTACTTCTTGGCATTTAAAATATAGAGAATTTTCTGGAACACTTTCAGTCTGGTTTTTAGTACTTGTGGTCATCAGTCTTACTGTATAAATTCTTGGTTAAGAGGCATCTCATCATCTTTTATTCAGGTTGCAATGAATAGAGCTCAAGTTTGTTTGATCTCCAGTTCCAAGTCTGGAGAAAGGCACCTGTACCTTATTAAAGTGTCAAGAGACAAAATATCAGACAACAATGAGCAGGAAACATCAAATTATGATGCAAAAGGTAATTATTTCATTTGCTTTATGTAAAACTTGGCTGAATTGAAAAGGACTGATGAAGTAATTCCTGATAATAATGTAAATGAACTAAAAATTATAATCTAAATTTACCAGATATAATTAATTCAATTAAAAGACTTAACTGTAAATACTGTCAAAGGAAAATATCCACTGGTTCTTTCTCTGAAAAACAAAGTAAAACAATTTGTACCTTTTAAAAAGAAAATTAATTTGTGAAGATTAGATGAAAGTACAGATTTTATGCCCACTTCAGTTACACAGGTCTTATTGAGTTAAAAATCTATTTTTACAAAGGTAGCAGTCATAGAAACTCTCTGAAAATGAATCACAGTGACCCAATCTAAATCACAGGACTTTAAAAGGCATTGGGAATGTTTGAGTGAGGTGCTTGCTCCAGAAAAGACCTTTAGAGATAAGACGAGACTGGAGATGTGAGTCTGGCCACATCCCTTCACTGTTAACACAGCCTTGATTAAACTGTCCGGAAAGGCACTGGAGTGAGAGGGAGACTGAGTGAGGAGCACTCAGCTGCCTGTGATCCAGGCTGTAGATGCTTTCGAGCCCTGCTGTCGCTAAAGTTTGCCAATCCTGGGTTTATTCCTGCCAGCTTCTCCTCTGTGGCATGTAGTTTGGATATGTTTCCCTACATTACTTTTAAACCTACCTTTTTCCTTCCTCATTTCAGGTCTGTTGGTTTTTCTAAGGCTATTCTATGTTAGTGGAGATGGCGTCAGATTGGATGCATGAGCTTAGCTTAGCTTTGTGTTGTATGCAGCTTTGTAGGGTGGGATCAACCCCCCAGGGTCTTGCACACGGTAGGCATGTACTCCACATCTCTAGCCTGCATGCAACTATATTTTCACATAGAATGTTCTTATGTTGCTCTCACAGATGTATTTGAAGAATGTACAGTAGATAGCCATTATAGAACTTATTATGTCATTTGTGTATATTTTGGTGTATCAATAGTAATATAGAATAAGGATCTTCAGATACAGGTCTATCCATGTTTTGATTGTTTAAGGATCACCAAAAGAGTAACTGATGGCTCAGGTAGTACAGACCTTTTTGCTTTTCTTTCCCTCTCTCCCCTTCTCTCTCAGTGTTAGAGATTGAACTGAGGGACCTACACATGCCAGGCATGTACTCTGCTACTGAGCTACAAACACCAGCCCAAGTCTTTTGTCTCCTCCTCTCTTCCCTTTCCCCCTTTTTTCTTTTCCTGTTCATCTTCCCTGCTTGCTCTTTCTCCCTCCTCCTCTGAATTGCTATGGCTTGTCTTGAACTTGCTATGTAGCCCAGATTGGCCTTAAACTCTTAGCACCCTCTCACTTCATTATCTGGATTACTGAGATTGACAGTAGTACATACTGTGTCTGGCTTGCTATTTTTTTTAAAGGAGGCTTCTTATGGACAAATCAGAAGGAGAAAATGGATGTTAAAGGCAAAGTGAAATTTTAAGGCAGAGAATAATTGAGATTAGAAAAAAGACCAAGAAAATCCAAATTGATAAAGTGTGGCAGTCACTTTCCGAACATCAGGATGCCATGTGCATGCAAAAATCTATGTGGTCATCCATGGAGAAGACATCCCGCCCTCCCCCCCTGCAGCGTATATCTGAGCTAAGACCAACAAAGGCTCTTGGAATCATTGACTGTGCAGTGATTAGTCAAGAGTGAGAGTTAACTGGAATGTTAGGTTGGCGAACATTCAGAGAAGCAGTAGACACAAGCAGCTACTCAGTTCTCATCTTTGTCAGCTTATCAGCAGGTTAGAACTTAGGACCAAGGCTGTGAAGGCTATCTGTATACTCATGTGCAGTTTTCTTTTCCAGTACTGCTGCTTCTGGAAATAACAGTGCCCTGATTAATTTTCATTTGTCTCATTTTAGCAATATTTGCTGTACTCACAAGTGTCTTGCCAAAAGATGACTGGTGGAACCTTCTCTTGAAGGCCATATATACTTTAAGTGACTTATCCCGCTTCCAAGAAGCTGAATTGCTTGTAGATTCTTCACTGGAATATTACTCATTTTATGATGACAGACAAAAACGCAAAGAACTGGAATACTTCGGTCTATCTGCTGCAATTCTGGACAAAAATTTCAGAAAGGCATATGACTATATCAGGTAACTTTCCAGTCATAAATCATATTTCAGAAATATTCATGTATATGTACCATTGTGCAGGATCCCGTGGAGGTCAGAAGAGGGCATCAGATCCCCAGAACTAGACTTACACATGGCTGGGAGCCACCATGTGGGTTCTGGGAACTTGATCCTCTGCAAAAGCAGATGGTGCTCTTAACCACTGACCCATCTCCAGACCCTCCGATCATATTTTAATTATATTCTCTGATAGCACATGTGCACTCATGTGACTTTGACTCTCACATCAAGAATTAAAGAGCTGTTTTGTTCTTAATGCTCCAATGACTTACTGGCTCAATTCACTGGTGATTCTTAAGTGTTCATGAGATAAACTCTAGAGCTAGAGTTCTTAGGTTCAAGTCCCCTGACACTTTTGGTAATGTGACATCAGGCTAGCCACTTAACCTCTCCTTCCTCATGCTTTGTAAGGGCATTATACTTCTATCACTAGGGTTAAATGGCTTATCATATCTGAAGCCTTACTGTGCCCGGCACACTATCAGCCATTGCTTATGTCCTGTAGGTATATAAGCTGGAAGGCAGGTAAAGCAAGCCCTTAGATGGTTCAGATTAAGAGATGTTTGTTTTTTCAGAATCAAAAACAAGATGAAATGCTAATGTAAGCAGCATTTTCTAGGGAAGAGGTTTTTTTTTTTCCTTGTTGGGGATAGCACTAAAGAGTTTCATTCTTGCCGGGCGTTGGTGGTACATGCCTTGGGAGGCAGAGACTGGTGGATCTCTGTGAGTTCGAGGCCATCTGCGTCTACAGAGTGAGTTCCAGGACAACTAGGGCTGTTACACATAGAAACCCAGTTTCAAAAAACAAAAAAAAAAAGTTCATTCTTAAACTTCCTGATTTTACATTATTTCCCTCTCACATGCTTTCTGCTGGTTTAGGGTGATGGTAATGGAAAATGTCAATAAGCCCCAGCTGTGGAATATTTTCAATCAAGTTACCATGCATTCCCAAGATGTGAGACATCATCGCTTCTGTCTCCGTCTGATGCTGAAAAACCCTGATAATCATGCTCTGTGTGTTCTAAATGGACACAATGCTTTTGTATCTGGGAGCTTCAAACATGCACTTGGTGAGTGTAACACCTGATGTTGGTGTAGTGGTCAAGGGCCAGGCTTTTGCTCTAGAACAGGACTCCCTGGGTTTCACATAGCTCCTCTCCCATTGCAAAGCAGTCTCTTAAACAGATTGTGTTAACTCAATGTTTAATATTATATGTAAGTTCTTCTAGTAACAATCTAGTAACAATCATGAGAATGTCTTGTTATTTTAGAGGTCAAGTAGGTGATCCTGCTAGAGTTAGAAGTCATCAATTGTCAACTGCATGCACACATATATACGTTCCCCCTTCACTTTGAAAATAGATGATCATACTGCTAAATCATTCAGTGTTGCTGTACATTGCTGTAAAGTTTATAGTAATGCTGTTTGGTTTTTAAAACATTTGACTGTTGAGGAAAAACATTTGACTGTTGAGGAAAGAAGGAGCTCTATTCTAGTCACATCATCTGGCCTTGCTTACTTTCCAGGACAGTATGTACAAGCCTTCCGTGCCTATCCCAGCGAGCCTCTCTACAACCTCTGCATAGGCCTGACCTTTATTCACATGGCATCTCAGAAGTATGTGCTCAAGAGACATGCCCTGACTGTGCAGGTAATCCATTAGATTCTCCCGCCTCTACACATGTTCATTTCCATAAACATAACATCTTTTTTAAAACCTGCTTGTTAAACACTTACTCCAGTGTCCCAGACTTGTAGACTCAGCATATTGTTAGACTGAAGATCTAACAATATGCTGCTTTCTAGCAGTGTAGTGAGTATATACAGGCAGACCTACAGGTATAGGTAAAATCTACAGGGTTTTGAATTGTGTCCTTTTATACTGTACCAGTTTCCAATCCCATCAGTAGTGAATGATGGTTCTCTTTTTTCCTGCAACGCCTTATTTTTTTTGTCAGTTGTGCATTGATCTTTGCCATTTTGACTGGGGTAAGATATTTCTTGGTCATTCTTTTCTTTTGAGAATTCTCTGTTCAAGTCCTAGACTCAATTTTTGAATGGGTGATATGTATCTTTTGACTTTGTTTTGGTTTTGTATACTCTAGATGTCACTGCTCGTCAGATGTATAGTTAGCAAAGATTCTCTTCTCCATGTTGACTATTTCTTTAGCTGTGCAGAAGCTTTTATGAAGTTCCACTTGGAGGGGTTGTTGACCTTAATTCTTCTGCAAATAGAGTCCTATTCAGGTCGTCCTTTCCTACATGTATATCATGGACTACCTAGGTTTGCTTCTGGCAGTTTCAGTGTTTCAAGTTTAGGTCTTATGCAAGAACATTAGTTCCATGATATGTCTAACTCTGCCAGAAAGAGCTGTGAAAGAGAGAGCAAGAGAAATTTTTTCTTAGCTCTTTAAAATTTAAAAAAAAAATTTTTTTTTTTGAATTGTTATTTCTAATATGAATATAAACTCAGCCGGATGTGTATTCAGAGGATGTTCAAGACTAGACAGGGCTCTGTCTCAAAAAAAAAAAAAATTACAAACTCTTCAGAGGGCAGTCTCATCATTATGGTTCCGGCATCTCTGACACATTGGTGGTTTACTGTTGACGTAGTCAGACTCTATAATATGCATCACCTTCTTTTTTCAGTGTGTTGCACTTAGTGGTGGGTAATATTCTAAAATGAGCATACTCAACCATCCTTTTCTTTTTGGTAGGGCTTTTCCTTCCTTAATCGATACCTCAGCATACGTGGACCTTGCCAGGAATCTTTCTACAATTTGGGCCGTGGCCTTCATCAACTGGGACTGACTCACCTTGCAATCCACTACTACCAGAAGGCTCTGGAACTTCCTCCACTTGTGGTAGAGGTAACTTACACACCCTTTCCTTTTAACTGTAGAGAAGTACACTCTGCTATGTACTATGGTCTAGACAGTGAGGTAAATCATAGTGCATATGGTAAGAATTTATGTTTGGGACCAATTATAGTGATACATGTTAGCTATCTCATGGCAGACCAAGCGAGATCTCAAGCTGAAGGCCCTCTCAGGCTACATAAAGATCTCTATTTTTTTTCTTGTAATGCAGTTATATTTAAGTTCACTAGCAGGCAAATCTTTGACATCCTGGCCTTATGATCTGATAAACAACCACTTGAACCTGTGCACATGTAGTTATGACCTTTAACCCTCTTTCAGTCATGCAGAGGTAATGCCTATGCTTTCCAGATAGGCTGGAATCAGTAACATACACTGTTCATTACAAGTTCAATAACCTGTTTCATCAAAAAAAAAAAAAAAAAAAAAAAAAAAAAAAAACAGAATTTCTTTGTATGTAGGGGTTTGTTCATGTAGAGTTCTAAGAACAACTTACTTTGTTTGAGACAGGGTTTCTTTGGATCCTGTCCTGGAAGTAGACAGGATTTCTTTATCCCTGCTGCATACACCAGGCTAGCTGGCCCATGAGTTTTTGGGGCTCCTTTTTCCACATTCCATCTCTCACTGTTGGATCACTGTAGCTTTTGTATGAGTCAGCAAGCACTGTACATTCAACCATCTCCACAACCTCTACATATAGACAGAGGTCAGGATTAATATAATTTTTTTTAAAGTTTGATAATTTAATTCTTGAAGCAAACTATGAACAGCATCATATATTTTGGCCTCCATTAGTGAAAGTGAACTTTCAACACAGCAATGAAACTGTTTATAAATAAGTACTCAGTGGAAGCCTCTGACTGCTTTCTAGTGCCATTCAGTTACTCAGAATTTAAGTCTCTTCTAGACCTGGTGAGACTTTCTATATAACCCGTTGGTTAGACATCTGATGAAGCCATGACTGTAAAAAATTACCTGAATCAGTGTAGGTCTGTAGGTCCAAGGTATTATGGAAAATCCCTTGTCATAGTTTGTCAGTTTGTCATAATGTTGACGTGGTTTACAGCTGGAAATAATTCACTTGTTTTTCCTCTAGGGGATAGAAGTTGACCAGTTAGACCTTCGAAGAGATATTGCCTACAACATGTCTCTCATTTACCAGAGCAGCGGGAACACTGCAATGGCTCAAAAGCTTTTGTATACCTATTGTGTCATATAAGCAGCATAACTGAGAAAGGGGCTACATGGACCAGTATCTTCTCCTGAGACTACTCTTCTTGATAAACATGGTGCTGTCCTTTGAAGCTGGGGGTGTGGCTTGGCTGTAGAATGCCTGCCTGTTTTGTATTCACAAGGCCCAGATTCAAGCCACAGGCCTTTGGAAAACCAAAACACTGCTTTTACCTCTGGAATATAAGCACAGTTGCCATTCCTGTGAGAATGTACATATTATTCTGTTATTACTCTTTAGCATTCTGCAATAAAATTATTCCCAACGCTGAAATGGACACTCTTAGCATCTGAGTCAGTTGGAATTGAAATTATTTTTTCATTTAATATCTACTGACCTGTATAGCATGTGTTCTGACAAACGCTGGGAATATTGAAGATGGATAGATGTGGTTTGTCCTTGAGGCATTTCAGAATACACTACTGAGATAGTCGCCATAGGGCACATTATTTATATATTTATTTTCTTGTGCTATATATTGAAGCCAGAGCCTTGTACCATGCATGCTAAGAGGTACATCCTCAGTCTTCACAGTCCTTAAAGTGTGGACATCTATTTCCTTGAAGGGAAGGAAATATATACTGCATCCCCATATAGTATCACCATCCAAATACAGCAAAGAAGGCTGCTTGTTAAAAGAAAAACAGATGGGAACTCTTATGGTAATGTAGTTACTTATAGTCAATACCTAACAAAACTGTTTAAGGTAGTTTTATGGTAGGAAGACAAATAATTGATTCATTTCACTTTCATCTGCACATTTCAGAGTGTAAGCCTTGCAACTGGGCTTAATTCAAAGCACAGCGCTCCAAGGCAGAACAGTCAATACACCTGCTTCCCAGCAGAGAAAAGGGATGGTGGTGTTCACATGTAATATGTTTTGCTTTCCATTTCAGGGTCACCACCCTCAAGATTTGGGAGGATGGGTATATGGAATTGGGTTGATAAAGATTTTTACTTTATTACATGTTCTTGAATCTCAGATAAGAACATTTGCTAGGTTTTTAGTGGAAAATAAGTTCTATGATTCTAAGAACAGTCCAGCTGTAAAGGAAGTAAGTGTTGAGATTGCTGTCAAACAATGGAGACTTTTTAGGAATTTTTACCACTCTTTATACTGCATACACAGCTTTCCAGTTGAGAAGCAGAGTTTGTATGTAATTAGTAATGCAGCTTATATCCTGTAAATAAATCCTTTTTAATTATTTTCTGTTCATTGGTGTTTTGCCTGCATATATGTCTGTCTGTGAGGGTGTCAGAAGCCCTGGAACTGGAGTTATAGACAGGTAGGTGTGAGCTTCCATGTGGGTGCTGGGAATCCAACCTAGGTCTTCTGGAAGAGCAGTCAGTGCTCTTAACCCTGCCCCAACAATATGGAAGGTGAGGACTAATTCCCAAACATTATCCTCACACACACTGCCATTTTTTGAATGCTACTGTCTTACTGAGTTTGTAGAAGGCAGGCATTACTAGAAGGCAGAGAGATTACTCCAGAGGAATATCTGCTCCCATTTAGAGTAGCAAAAATTTTGAGTGTATCTCTCCCCCCCCCCCCATTCTTTTCCTCCCTTCACTTGCAATATATTATTCCCTTTGACTAAGACTCTGGGGTATTGCTTCTACCTGGGCCAAACAAGAATTTCCTTCTTCCTTGGGAATGTGGGAGATGAACTCTAGCCCTCTTATGAGCTGAAACAGCAGTGCTCTGTGGCCAGCCACGAGTTAACCAGTTCTGTTGATAAAGGAGAGAGAGGCTTACACATAAAGAGAAGGTAAGAAATGGGAATAACCCTGAGTTTTTTGTTTTTTGTTTGGATGGGGGTTCTTTCTTAGGTTAGCCACAGTTTACCTGAGTTCGTTCTGGTGGTGTTAGTTCTATAGTTGTCTTAGTTAGGATTTTTGTTTCTGTGAAGAGGACACCATGATCACAACAACTCTTATAAGGAAAACTGGTAATTGGGGTGGCTTACTGTTTCAGAGGTTCAATCCAGTACCATCTTGGTGGGGAGTATGATAGTATGCAGGCAGATGTGGTGCTGGCTACATCTTGATGTGCAGGCACAGGAAGTCAACTGACACACTCAGCAGTATCTATAGCATAGGAAACCTCAAAACCCAACCCCATGGTGACACACTTCCTCCAACAAGGCCATACCTAATCCAATAAAGCCACGCCTTCCAATAGTGCCACTACCTATAAGATTATGAGGGCCAATTACATTCAAACCACAGTGGCTTTCACAGTAAGCTTGAATTTTTCTATAGATTGTACCAAAAATCTTACTGAGCTCCACCTTTTCATTTTAATACTGTTGTTTTATTTTCACAAGGAGGAGTGTATAGCAGCCAGAGCCATGAGAATGTACCACTTGCTGTAGCTTAGCTGTGCTGGAGAGAAACTTAAGGTGAACACCACCATTTTCATTAACATCCACATTTGGAGATGTCAGATCTGCACAGATGGAAACTCAGACTGCGAACAGCTGAGCTAGAGCACTTGTGTACACTGTGTGAGGCCCTAGGATCAAGTATTAAACTATATAAACAATAGTAATAGTTACAAATATTCAGGAGTCAAGAGTGAGCAGGTTTGAAAGTAAACTAAAAATGTGACTTAGAAATGTGTACTTGGTCTTAAAAATCAATTGTAAAAACATAAATTGTAGTTAGCTTATCAGACATTTGTTGGAAATTAAAGCTTTGGTAGTTTTTATGTTAGCCATTTCAATATGTCTTGACTGGATGATTTTTTAAAAATCAAATCTAAAATTAGGCAGCTTTCAAAAAGAAAAATCGGTCTTTTCGTTTTGACCTGATCTCTAGAAAAAAAGCTACCAGTTGTGGGGACAGTTCTTAAAAAAAAAACAACAGAGCATTCTAGAAGGAAATCAGGATGCTCAATCTAGAAAATAGAAGTCTTAAGGAAGAAATGCTAGTTCTCAAACTGCCAAGAGAAGGTGTGCAGGACAGGGGCCACTCTTTCTGGTTGAGTGATCAGAATAAATGGTATCTCCCAGAATAAATGGTGTGTGGTGTACATGTGTATACATACATGTGGATACATGTGGAGACCAGAAATTGATGTTTTTCTCTGTTGTTTTCCACTTTAAAAAATGAAATTAATTCCTTGTTTCATCTATGTATATAATGCATTCTGATTACTCTCTCTCCCGTCTTCTCACATCTCCCTCCCATTCCTTGCAACCCTGCCCCTGTCCTACCAGTTCCTTTCCCAGTAGTTTTGATTTTATTTTGTTACCCATTTAGTTTAACCAGGGCTATTTATGCAACCATTGGATTGGGTTTATCCAGTGGCTGCATAACAGCAAAGTTTTCAGTTGATAACAATCATGCGCCAGATAAACCCAATTGGTTAAGATACTACAACTGTGATTATTGCTAATTATTGCCAGTAACTGAAGGCAGGAACCCCTTAACTCAAATTATCAGTAGCACATAGTTCCAGGGTGAAGCATAGGGCTTCTTGAGCTCTTCCTCCAAGCATGTTTGCCTGTTGACAAGCCCATTCTGTGCAGACTCAGTGTTTGGTGTCCACAGCTCCTGTGAGTCTGAATGGAATAGCTGTGTTTTTGCCCTGAGGCGGCATTTCTCAGCTTTTCTCCCCATCTTCTCCTATTCTTTACACCATCCTATATTGGGGCAGGGGTGTCAATACCATTCTATTTTTTGGCGGGGGTCTCTAACTGAACCTCTAGCTCACTGGTTCAGCTAGAATGGCTGGCCCTTGAGCCTCTGGAACCACCTGCCTCCTTCCTCTACCACACCATTGTTATAACTGTGCATAGTTTTGTTTTGACATGGTACTAAAAATCTAAGCTCAGGTCCTCATGCTAGCAGAGTTCCACCTATCCCTCAGTTTCTAACCATTTCTAATCTAGTTCTTACAGCCTATATCCCCTAGTTGACTCATTTATATCATCCCTACCATCCTAGCAATTCTGTTTTGTATTAATACATTTAGGTGGTAACTAGCTCACACTTCTCCCTTTTCTGAACATGGTCCCCAATAGAGACTAATTAATGTTCATTGCCACTGCAAACTGGACCTTCACATGCCAAGAAAGTGATCTTACAGTACTGAGACTAGATTCCTGCAGATATTTCTCACAGAAATAAATTTGATTCTCCAGAATTCCATGTTCCAATACACTTACCAGGGTACTGATGAGAAGCACTGGTGAAAAGAGGTGGCAGCTTGGGACAGAAGACTTCCAGCTCCATGTGAAGCTGCAACAAGATACTTGTTGGAGGTCTGTATCCTGGTCTTGCTTGGTAAGTGCCTGGGGTTCCCATTAACCCAACACAAGTAATGTCTTTGGATGAGATAGGGCACTACAGAAAGAATACAAGGCTTACAGGCTTACAGGGTTACACTTTTAACTGCCACAATTCATTCAATGAGGAAATAGGGGGAAATAATTAAAGATAAAATTGAAAAGGGATGAAAAAAATTTCTTTGTGGCAGTTATTCTTACATTTCATTTATAATTTATATTTCATTATATTTATAAATCCAGGAAAAACCTACTCTTGCCAGAATTTTCTTGTGTGTATTGGATGGCAGTACATTTCTATGTATTTAGAATCGCAATTAACAATTTCATTGTTTTCACATCAAAACATTTAAAACAAAAACTTTTTGAAGAGAAGAAAAAAGTTGAGAGTATCAGCTCTACATCTTCAGCTGTCCTCTGCATGTCTCAGCACCAGCGGACAGCCTAGAGCCCTTCTGTATGGTTCTTGCTGTCTAGTCTATAAAAACCACCACCAAAACCACAATCTGACAGGTACCACATGTGATGGTTTGAAAAGAAGATGGTCCCCAAAGGGAGAGGCACTATTAGAAGATGTGGTCTTGTTGGAGGAAGTGTGTCACTGTGGGAAAGACTTTGAGGGAGAGGCACTATTAGAAGATGTGGTCTTGTTGGAGGAAGTGTGTCACTGTGGGAAAGACTTTGAGGGAGAGGCACTATTAGAATATGTGGTCTTGTTGGAGGAAGTGTGTCACTGTGGGAAAGACTTTGAGGTCTCTCTCAAGCTTCCCTTGGTTGACAGTCAGTTGACTTCCTCCTGTTGCCTACAGATGTAGCACTCTCAGCACCAGCATCACATCTGCTTGCTGTCATGCTTCCCTTCATAATGGACTGAACCTCTGAAACTGTAAGTGAGCCACCCTCAATTAAATGTTTTCTGTATAAGAGTTGCCATGGTCATAGTGTCTCTTCACAGCAATAATAAACCAAATCCAAGAACACATCAAAGAGGTCATCCACCATAATCAAGTAGGCTTCATCCTAGAGGTGCTGGGATGTTTCAACATTAAATTCTGTCAATGTAACCCACCATATAAACAAACTGAAAGAAAAAAAAAAAAAACCCACATGATCATCTCATTAGATCCTGGAAAAGACTTTGCCAAAATCCAACTCCCCTCCATGATAAATGTCTTGGAGAGAATACGGATACAGGGCACATATCTAAACATAATAAAGGCAACTTATACCAAACGGATAGCCAAATTAAAGGGAAAGAAACTCAGAGCAATTCGACTAAAATCAGGAATAAGACAAGGCTGTCTTCATATCTATTCAATATAGTTCTTGAAATTTTAGCTATAGCAATAAGACAACTGAAGGAGACAAAGGGGATACAAATTGGAAAGGAAGAAGCCAAACTGTCACTATTTGTAGATGATAATATACATAAGAGACCCCAAAAATTCTACCAGGGACCGCTAGAGCTGATAAATACCTTTAGTGAAGTAACTAGATACAAGATTAATGCAAAAAAAGTCAGTAGCCCACCTTCCACTAACAATGTAAAATATCTTGATATTAACTCTAACCAAGCAAGTGAAAAATCTGTATGACAAAAACTTCAAGTCTTTGAAGATATCAGAAGATGGAAAGCTCTCCCATGCTTATGGATTGGTAGGATTAACAGTAAAAATGGCCATCTTATCAAAAGCAATCTACAGATTCAATGGAATCCCCATTAAAATCCCAAAACAATTCTTCACAGACCTTGGAAGAACAGTACTCAACTTCACATGACAGACCAAAACAGGATAGCAAAGACAATCTTGTACAATAAGAGAACTTCTGGAGGTATCACCATCCCTGACTTCAAGCTCTACAACAGAGCTATAGTAATAAAAACTGCAAGGCATTGGCATAAAAGCAGA